ATATGTATACATATATGTATAGGGCGTTCTCTGTTAAATCGGTCATCCCCCTGCCCATTTCAATTTTTGAGATAAAGTTCTTTTTTTGGTCTTAAAATTTTTCTTGAAATGTCTATTTTTCATTGCTGTATGGCATTTTTGAAAATTTAAGAATGGTGGACCCAAAATGGCGACTGGAATGAAAAAAGACATTGGAAAAATTAATGATATCGTGAATAAACATGCACGATGTGTGATGTAGAGGTCTGATCCGCGCGCGTGCGTGTGTGCTTCATTTACGTGAGTCCCCTTGCCTTTCATGTATGTGTGCGCGCACGTTGTGTGTGTGAGTGTGCGCGAGCGCGAACGCGTGTGTCTGTGTGGATGGATGTACTCTAGAATTTATTTTTTAATTTTTTATCCTTTACTTTCTTCTCCGTAACTACCGTAGCATTCCATTTATATCATTGGAATACCTTTTGATTAATACTTTATTTTCTCCCGCAATTATAAATCCATGATTTTTAAGAATTTGCGGAACAGACTGCACGGCTTCAAATCTCTTATTAAGAGGGGATCCTGGTTTACAGACTCAAAATTTTCGATTTTTTTTTTCGTAAATCGATAGTAAAACTCATGAAAATATAGTTCCTGAAGTAAAAAACCGAAATTCGAAGTATTTCGATAGATATGTATAGAATTTGTGGCGATCAGTCTAGCCCCGAACTTCAGTTAGTTTGGACGTTAGAAGACATTTGAAAACGACAAAATGTATCCAAAAGCAATGAATGGACAGTTTAAACGCGCATTAATCGTATGAAGAAGCGGAAGGCTTAGTCTGCCATGGGCCTGACATGGCAGATTAGCATCTAATTACTGTAAGTTTGCAATAACTAATTTTTTCGTATCGAAAACTTTAAACGCGTTTTTCTCGAAACCACGTTTTTCAAGTTTGTGTAACGTCTCAGAAAAAAAGTATATGACCGATTCACTTTTTCCAAAGCTTTTTAGATAGCTAATAACCTACTGTTCTCGATGAACTAAAAACGTTTTCAAATGTAACTAAACGATTGTTTTTTCATAAAGTCAAAAATTTTTCGTAAAAATTGTAACTTTTTTTACAATTTCTTTAATTCTGCACTTTTTCTTGGTTTTCTTAGTTCATTTAGGATAAAATTTCATGAAAATTAATAAAATATTTGGTTTTTTTTATTTCAGATAAGAATTAGATCCGCCAGACGTTACACAAAATGATAACTCCGGTTGCACGGCGGTATAAACATATTAAAATATAACAATGTAAAATAACTGTTTTTTAAATAAAAAAAATATTTTTGTATTGTCTATACTAGGTGCGCAACTAAGTTTCCGGGTTTTTTTGATCAATGAAAAATGGAAAATTTCAAGAGAAATACAAAAAATGGTATAATTCAAAGTATCGTCCCTCGCTAGCTACACATTTTTGCCATCTTTCTGGCAATACATGAATACCGCGACGATAAAACGACGCGTCTTTGGACCGAAACCATTCATCCAACCAATTTTGCACTTCTTCGAAATTTGCCAAGTGTAGCCCAGCCAAGCCATGCGCCATCGATCGGAACAAGTGATAATCGGAAGGGGCCAGGTCTGGTGAATACGGCGGATGCAGTAGCAGATCCCATTTCAGCGTTTTGATGGTCTCCCGGACGATGAAAGTGCGATGGCACGGAGCTTTGTCGTGTTGCAATATCACTCGTTTGTGTCTCGTGTTCCATTCTGGCCGTTTTTTGAGCAACGCATGGTTCAAATTGACCAGTTATTATCGGTTGACAGTTTCACCCTGTTTCAGCAGCTCATAGTACACGATTCCTTTCTGGTCCCACCAAACGCAGAGCATTGTCTTCTTTCCGAAGCGATTTGGCCGTGCCGTCGATGTTAATGCTTCGCCAGGTGAGAAAGCCACAATTTTTTGCGTTTGGGATTCTCGAAATATATCCACTTCTCATCGCCAGTAACAATTCGATGCAGGAAACTCTTTCTTTCATGCCGCAAAAGCAAAATTTCGGAAGTGGCTCTTCGATTTTCCATCTGTCTCTCAGTCAACTCATGCGGCACCCATTTTCCTTCCTTTTGGATTTTTACCATGGCATGTAAACGTTTGGAAATACCTTGGCGAGTCATGTTTAATGCCTCCGTAAGTTGATCTTGTGTTTGCGTATCATCTTCATCCAATAACGCTTGCAAATCGGCGTCTTCAATTGTTTTTGGTCTTCCGGAGCGCTCCTTGTGCTCAGTGTCGAAAACCCCACTTCTGAAGCGTTTAAATCAATCTTCACAGGTAGTTTTCGATGGTGCATGTTCGCCGTATGCCTCCTCAAGCAAACGACGTGCTTCAGCTGCATTTTTTTTCAAGTTAAAGCAGAAAAGCAAAGCTTCCCGCAAATGCTGTTTATTTGGCACAAAACTCGACATTTTTATTGTTAAAAAAAATATTTTTGTGTTGCGATATGTGTTGGTATTATGACTGGTTATTGCTGACGATGTCCGAGCTATAAAAAATACACAACTTTAGACATGTATGTCGACTACATGTGTCGTTAGTGCCATCCATGTGCGAAACCCGGAAACTTAGTTGCGCACCTAGTAGATGTCATAAAACAACCCTAAAATTTTGTATTGATCCGCTTAATGGTTACTGAGAAAAAAATTCGCGAAAATCGTCGTTTTTTCGGCATCCTAAATGAGGCTCCCCCCTTAAGTTTTCCTTTTATCTTCTTATGATCAATTTTTTTAAAATAAAAAATCCTTATATTCTTGAAATGTATTCTAGCCCAATTATTAGGTGTTAAACTTAATTCCTATCGTTTTTTCGTCTCGAAAATTGATTTGTTTCGAAGGGAAGATGAATGAATACCTTAATCAAAGTAATTTCCTCCATATTCTACTACTTTTTCCCATCTCTCCGGCAACAGGGCAATCCCACGACGGTAGAACGCGGTGTCTTTCGAGGCGATCCATTCATCCAC